TAAACAAGAAATTGTAACAAGACACGATGAATAACCACTGACTTTATTAGAAAGAGATTCATGACCTCTGGATTCAGATCTGGGTTCAAATCCCCGCCACCTCAGGTTATTTAACTGCCCTGTGAGGTGACGTAGGGAAGCCACAGCACGGCGCACGTGCCCACAGCGGTGGTGGCCTGCCAGCTCTGTCCTACTTCCTCTGCCCCAGCTCCCTCATCCAGAAAGTGAGGCTGGTACACAGGAGCTCACACGGTTAGTCAAGGTGTCCTCGGCTGCAAGTAGCAGCGCCCAGGTCTAAAAGGGATTTAAACAGCAAATTTGTTTTTCTCACTTAACAAAAAGCCCAAGGTCGGTAGTCACAAGTTGATGTAGTGCGTCAGTAGGCCTTTCAGTTGGCTTCCCTACGCTTTGCTTGGCCCTCCCCTGCTGAGCACAGAAGAACTGCTGCAGCTCCACACATCACACCTTCACAGGGCAGGGGTCCTCCTCCAGCCCCTCACTCATCTTTCCCAGAATACCCCGCGATGCCTTCCTTTTGTGTGCTTGGCTGGATCTGGTCACACGCCCAGGCCTCAGCAGCAAGGGAGCGGGGTGGAGCGGAGCTGGGGCGTGCCCGCTGCAGAGAGGCAGCGGCATTGTCCACGTGCTCTCAGAGCAGCTGTGCGCAGGGCAGGTGTCGGGCCCTGCAGAGCCTCGCACACAGTCCTTCCCAGGCGGGTGTCCATGTTCTCGTAAGTAGCAAGGAGGCCTCACTCTGTCTGGAGAGAAGAAATACCTCAGATCTCCTTTCCCAAGCAAGCCAGGGCCCTGCTTCCTGCACAGCCCATACCTGTGCGTACCTGCGAAGCTTCGCCTGCCCTGATAAGCCTGTCTGGTTAACAGGTGCACACCCAGGGAAGAGCTCTGTGCACAAGCACTCCTGGAAGTGAGCTACTGCCCTTCGTCCTGCGGGCCCCGCCCCGTGTCAGGTGCAGAGTGTCCCCGCAGTTCCCTGTAGTGCAGTGGCGCAGAAGCCACCGCATCCAGTCGGCACCACACTGCAGGTTTTGAATGTTGGTGTTTTCCTGGGGAGCGCCATGTGACCCGTCCACTCTTGTGATGCCAGGGGGCAGCCGTGAGCACAGCTCCCAGTCGTCCGTGACTAAGTGGGGGCACCACGGACGTGCAGTGTGGGGTGTGGCTGAGCCATGAGGTGTGGTAGGGGCGGTGAGTTCAATGCATTTTTTTAAAAAAAAGATCTATTTATTTGCTTATTTGAAAGGCAGAGCAACTAAGAGAGAGGGAGAGACGGAGAGAGAGATTTCCCATCCACTGGTTCACTCCACAAATGACCACAGGCAGAAGCTGGGGCTGGGCCAGGCCGTAGCCAGGAGCCTGGAACTCCATCTGGGTGTCCCATGCGGGTGCAGGGGCCCACACACTTGGGCCATCTGCTGCTGCTCTCTGAGGGCACCAGCAGGGAGCTGGATCAGAAGCGGAGCAGCCAGGACGCAAACCACGCTTTCCTACGGGTTGCTGGTGCTGCAGGCGGCAGCCTCACCCGCTGTGCCCCAGTGCCGGCCCCACTCTGACCTTGACCTGGATAGACTTCCCTCTAGGAGGGGATAAAACGATACCTTCCCCTCTGGTGGGCTGCATGGGGAAATGAACAAGCCAGTGCGTTTGAAGCACTCGGCACACAGGTAACGGGTGCCATCATGGCTTTTGATTTCCATGAATTTCCACCTGAGCGCCACCACGTGCGCAGCACTTCCGTGGCCGGGCTGCCCCCAGCTGCTACTCATTCTCTGACAAAGTGCTGCACGGGCACTCTGCGGGCCTGTTCATTCACTCACCTGGCCGCAGGAGAGACCGATGGTGCCTCGGATCTGCCACGTTTTGGTAAATGCACAGGACAAACATTAACTTGGATAATCCTTCCAACAACCCTGGCAAACAGATTTCGTCACCGTCATCATCCCTGCTTCACAGGGAAACAAACAGGTCCAGGGAGAGGTGCGAGAATCCGTCCAGGGTCACACGGCTACTGGAGGAGCTGCCATTTGAACCTGAGTCCATGCTCTGGACCCCTGTATGCTGTTGTGAGATGCCTCTCCACGGGCAAGCCTTTCCGATGGCCAGCAGGGCCAGCCCCGCTGCTGCCCTGGGCCCTGAGCCCTTGCCACATGTGAATTGGCCCCTTGTAATGTTGGACTCACCTGGCCATCCCCTGCCCCCGTGCACGCCCACTCGCCCACGTGCCGCCCCCGAGTCACCTCAGGGAGTCACCCTGGTGTGATTACACTGGTCGTGCGGCAGTAGTTATTAACATTAGTGGCGGTTGCCGATGCCAGTCCCTGTGACCGTGCCGTTTAATCTCCGCACTAACCTGTGATCTGCATTTACAGCAGAGGGAGGTGGAGCTCCGAGAGGTGGGGTGAGGACACAGAGCAGCTTCCTGGGGAGCCGGGATGTAGCCAGGTGCTTGGACGTCGGTCTCACTCTGATTTTATTAATTTGAAGGACATAGTTACAGAGAGAGAGGGAGAGACACAGAGAGAGAGATCTTCCATCCACTGGTTCACTTCCCAGTTTGCTGCAATGGCTGGGGCTAGGCGAGGCTGAAGCCAGCAGCCAGGAGCTTCTTCCGGTCTCCCATGCGGGTGCAGGGGCCCAAGCACTTGGACCATTTTCAGCTGCTTTCCCAGGTATTAGCAGGGAGCTGGATCAGAAGTGGAGCAGCTGGGACATAAACCCGCACCCACATGGGATGCCAGTGTTGCAGGTGGGGGCTTTACCTGCCACACCACAGTGCCGGCCCCCAGTCTGACTCTTGACCCTGGTCCCCATGGCCCCCGGGTCACCTTGTACATGAAAATAGCAGTGCTGGCCTTCAGGCACCTGCTGCATGGCAAGGCCTGCTCTGGGCGCTTCTCTGCATGATCTTCTTCCGGCCCCGGAGTTGGTCTCCTTGGCTGGTTTTGCACATCGGGACGCCGAGGTGTAGAAAGCTCAGGGTACTTTCCCAGCGTGAAGGTGGGTGGCCAGCATGGCTCTGAGCTGTCTGGCCCACTGCGCATCTGCCTTGGTGACAGACAGCCGCCCAGTCTGAGGTTCTGTCCCCTTCCTGACTACCCACATCCAGTGAGCAGCTGATGATGGGAGTATAAAGAGCTGACCCAGGCCAGGTGTTGTGGCACAGTGGCTCAAGCCAACATCCTATATCAGGGCGCCACCGGTTCAAGTCCCAGCTGCTCCACTTTTTTTTTTTTTTTTTTTTTTTGGTAAAGATTTTATTTATTTGAAAGGCAGAGTTATAAAAACAGAGTGGGAGAGACATACAGAGAGACATGCATATGCTGATTCATTCCCTAAATATACACAGCAGCCGGGGCTGGGCCAGGCTGAAGCCAGGAGCAAGAGTTTCATCCCAGTCTCCCATGTGGGTATTAGGAGCCTCAGCACTTGGGCCGCTTTTGCTGCTTTCCAAGGCACATTAGCAGGGAGCTGGATAGGAAGTGGAGCAGCCAGGATTGAATTGGCACTAATGTGGGGTGCTGGTGTTGCAGGTGGTGGCCTAACTTACTTTGCCGCCACACCAGCCCCTGCTCCGTTTCTAATACAGCTTCCTGCTAAGGACCTGGAAAGGCAGCTGAAGATGGCCCAAGAACTTAGGCTCCCACCACCCACGTGGGAGGCCCAGATGAAGCTTCTGGTTCCTGGCTTTGACCTGGCCCAGCCCTGGCTGTTGCAGACATCTGGGGAGCGAACCAGCAGAGGGACGATCTGTGTGTGTGTGTGTGTGTGTGTGTGTGTGTGTAACTCTGCCTTTCAAGTTAATACATAAATCTTTAAAAATAAGTCAATAGAGACCCGGCCCTCTCGCCATTTTCAGAACTCCCTGCTGGGCCAGCTGAGGCTTCCTTGAGTCCACACCACAGCTCGGCAGCTCCCGCCACCCGGCCTGCCAGCCCCCTTCCCTCCTGCAGGTATCGGTCTCTTGGGACAGCTCGCCAGGCACTGAGCATAAAGGGGTTTGGAGCCAGGAGCTCTCCAGCACTCCTGTCCACGGCTCTGGTCTCCACTCGGCAGGCAGGCGGCAGGTCTGGGGAATGGGATGGGTGGGCTGCATGGTGGGGGTCCTGAGGTCGCTCCTCCCTGCCCTGACCACCAAGTTCTGCTCGTCCCTGCGAGGCCTCAGTCTACCCCTGCTACGACCACAGTCCCCACAGGGGGCAGAGCCTGGGTCCCAGGGCAGTGTGGCTCGAGGGGGCCCCACCCCAGCGCTGGAGCTGGGTGGGCCTTCCAGCTGCCAGCCTTCTCCCTGGCTGTGGTCCTCTCCCACTTTCCTCCCCTGTTCCACATTCCCTCTGCCCCCGCCCAGCTCCCGCCTGGCTCCGCAGCAGGAGCCTGAGTGGACTCTGCCCAGCCCGCAGGGGCCAGCGCTCCTGGCTGTGTCTCGGCTCCCCCAGAGCAGCCCTCCTCTCCCCCCGGGCTCCCGTGGGGCTCCACTCAAATGTGGCCCTGGGTGACGGAGACCCCTGTGGCAACACACATGGTTGGGGGGGACTCTCTCCACGGCTATCCCCCTGCACAGTGGGCCCTGTTTTTCTAGAAAGCACCTCCTAAGTGACTTCACAGAGCAGCCCTCTGCCTTGCTTGGGGCGCCTTTTTACATCGACAGGTGCCTTGGGCGGCTCCCTCTTTGTTCTGCTCACTGCACTAGATGGTACAGTCACGCCCGGCCGTGAACCTCCGGAGCCCCAGCAGAGCCTGAGCCGGGGCCGGTGGTCAGCACAGCTCCTTGCCCACCTCCCTGTGGCTCATCAGCCTCCTTGGGAAAAGTCATGGTAAGGGAAGGAGCCAAACAAACTTCTGTGTGTTCCAGGGGTCCCGGCCGCCAAGGGCCACGTGTGCCCTGGACTGCCCATGCCCAGGCCCAGGCGTGTCTGAGCCTCCCACGGCCTTGTCCTCAGCACAGTCCAGGCAGCTTCCGGATCTCAGCTGTATCTGTCTTTCAGCTCCTTCTGCACGGAGTTCGTAGCCAGCCTGGTGAAGTGGCTGGAGTTGTCCGAAGCCGTCCTGCCCACCATGACTGCCTTTGCCAGCGGCCTGGGAGGCGAAGGGGCAGACATGTTTGCCCAGACCTTGTCGAAGGACCCCGTCCTGAAGGGCAACCCGTCTCTGATCACCCAGGTACACCTGACACTTGAGTGGCAGCTGCTAGGGAAGTAGTACAAGCCGCTTCTGTTCAAAATTGGGCTGAAAAGCACTTCTTGCAGAGTGAGGACATTGCAAGATAGCGTGTCGCCGTGGTGTCACGTGATCACAGCCGACGGTGATGATCACTGAGTGTTCACCCTGCACTGAGCACTCCTGTGGTGCTTACTGTGTGCTTGGACCTGCGCAGAGATGAGCTCGGGTCGTGTACAAAGCAGCCTTAAGAGCCAGGAGTAAGGGTTGAGCATTCCTTATCTGTCGCTCCCCCTCTTCGTGGAGGAACGACACAGGACCCTGCGCTGTTCTTTTGTCTGCTCAGCCCTCCCCAGGTTTGCTGCTGGTTCTTCCTGGGTTGGCTACCGTCCCTTCCACCTCCGTGGAAGGGCGGTTCCCCCTGCCACATTCCCCACTTCCGCGGGGGAGCGGCACACGGCCGGCCGGCTCTCTCGGGGGCTGCACAGGTGTTCCTCTTAGCTGTTCCCTTAGATGTTCCTAGTGCATGCCGTCTCTCTCCTCCTTTATAGTCCTCTTCCACCAATCCCAACTCTGCTACCCACACGCCGAGTACGCTGCTCTCCTCCAATCAGGAGCAGGTCCTGCTGTTTATTGGTTGAACTGGAGGCAGCTGTGTAGAAGCTGTTTCCCTTCTCAGCGCCATATTGTGGGAAAGCAGATGCATAGAATAAGTCTTAATTCCAGTAACTTAGTCTAGTCCGAGTTGCTCCCCACACTTATCCAAGATGCTGGAGACCAGGAGAGTTAGTTTCAGATTTGGGTTTTTTTTGGATTTTGAAATATTTGCATTTGCATAGTGAGGTCTCTTGGAAATAGGAACCAAGTCTACACACAGAATTCATTTCTGTCTTGAATACATCTTACACTCATAGCCTGAAGATAGTATTTTTTAAAAGATTTATTTTATGTATTTGAAAGGCAGAACAACAGAGAGAGAGGTAGAAAAAGAGAGACCTTCACTCCCCAAAGGGCCACAATGGCCAGGACTGGGCCAGGCTGAAGCCTGGAACTCCATCTGGGTCTCCCACGTGGGTGCAGGGGCCCAAGCACTTGGGTCATCTGCTGGCTTCCTAGGCACATTAGCAAGGAGCTGGATCAGAAGTGGAACAGCCGTGACTCCAGCCAGCACGATATGATACTGGCATCTCAGGTTGAGACTTAGCCCACCGTGCCAGGACACCAGCCCCGGTGTGCAATGTTTGTCACCATTTGGTGCATGAAACTGTTTCACCGTCTGGAATTTCCACCTGGGGCATCTGGTTGGCTCTGAGAGTGTCAGGTTTGGGAGCGTTGCATATTGCAGAGTCTCGGATCAGGGATGATCACCCTTGTGTTACAGTGGAGGCAGGGAGGCACAGAGAGGGTCAGTGACTTGCCCGCAGTCACACAGCTGGTAGGTGGCTGAGCCAGGCTCTGAACCTTGGTGCTCCGGTGCCGCAGCTTGGCTTGTTCCCTGGGACCTGTCACTCACCTGCTCTGTGTGCCACGAAAGCAGCAGAAGCTGTGGCCTGAGCTGTGGCTGGGGAAAAGGAAAACCAAGCAGCCCCTCACCTCCTTTATTCCACTGCCTGAAGCTCTCACGGGTTTGCTTGCTCATCCCCTGTCTCGCTCTTGGAGCGTGGGGGCAGGTGCTCTGCCATGGGGTGGGAGTGGGAGTGGGAGTGGGAGTGGGAGGACCACCCTGTGAGTGGGCTGCTTGCCTGCCACCCCGTCACTGACGCCTGTTTCTCCCGCCCCCAGGACCTCCTGAGCTTCTCCCTCCGGGATGGTAAGTCAATCTTCTGAGCTCTGGGAGTTGTGCACGTTCCCTTTGACCCCGGGGCCAGGGGAGCTGTGGCCCAGTCCCCAACAGCCTTTGGGCCAAGGATGGAGAGGGAGCGCGCTGTTGCCGGGGAGCTGGGGAGCGCTTCATTCGCGCCAAGCGCCACGCGGGGCTTCCTCCTCCCAGCAGCCCTGGCGGCACGTGCCGTGGGGCTCTTCGCCCCTCCTACACCTCCGCACACCACCCTGTCCCAGCCACCGTCACCCATACCGCTCACGGGTCTTCCTGCCGCCACTCAGGCCAGTGCTTTGCCGTCCACCTGGCCACATGAACGATCTTTCCGGGGGCCATCTGACCACGCTGCCGCCCTGCTCAGTACCCGCCAGTGGCTCCTGCACTGCTCAGGAGAAGGACCAGTGCCTCTGACGTGGCTCTCGAGGGCCCTGTCCCCTCCCGGGCTCATCTCTCGATACAGCCGTGCCCTTCACTGTGGCTCCAGCCCCCGGCCCTTGTGGCGCCCCGGAGTGCACTGTGCCCTCTGCACCTTGGCGTCTGCATGTGGCCTGTCCTGGCCACGCCCACTCACCTGCCCCCTTTCCCTGGCCCTCCTGGAAGCCTTCCCAGCCCACTGCTCATGCCAACTGCGATGACAGCTGTGCACCTGCTGCCCGAGTCTTGGGTCAGCAGCCAACTTCCCTGCCAGCAGTGGGCTCTGGGTCTGACCGTGTTTGCTTCCAGAGCCTGACCCCTGGCACCTGATGCATGGCCAACTTGGTAAACAGTCTAGGAATTAATGTTGATCTTAGCACCCCAGTGGGCACAGAGAGGTTAGACACCTCCCGGAGGTTGCTCCGTAAGCGGCTGTCAGTGTCCCGTGGCTGCACGGGTTACAACAGCAGAAACAGTGGAGGCCACAAGTCGGAAACCAAGGTGCCTTAGGACCGGCTCCCTCTGAAGGCTCTAGGGTGGGGGCTGGGAGGTAAAGGGGGGTGGGGAGATGCTCTGTGCCCCTTCAGCCTCTGCCCGCTCCAGGCCTGTGGCTGCTTCTCCCCGCCCCCACTCTCCTCCTCCCGAGGCAGCCTTCTTGTCCCTTTCCTGTCAGGACACCCTTTCCAGGGCAGCCTCCCCTCGATCCTTAGCTTGACGACATCTGCAATGACCCTTTTCCAATTAAAGTCACATCCGCAGCTTTGGGGACACAGGTGTATCTTTGAGGGAGGGGCGTCTCCCAGGGAGCCCCACACAGGCTGCCTCTGGAGCGCCTGCCCAGCCCCTCCGCTCTGCCTGGGTGCCCCCGTCCTCCATATGTGGCTTTGCAGAGGCCGGAGCTGGGGAGAGGCTTTGGCACAGAGATCTCTGAGGTTTGTCCGGATGGCCCGGAAGGGAGCAGGAACACTGAACTGGAAGTGAGGTCCCAGCAGGCCCCACACCGTGCACACGGCAGGGGCAGAGGTGGCAAAGAGCCAGGCAGGAGGCCAGGGAGGGCTCTGGGCCCACGGAGGCACCTTGTAGTCCAGCAGGGCGGATTTCACCTGGACCGGCGTGAGAATCACAGGCTTGGTGAGGGCAGTGGGGAGAGGAGTGAGGGTTGGGCCCAGGAACATTCTGGAATGGACAACAGAGTGACCAACAGACCGGGGACAGAGGAGAGGGGCTCAGAGGTGACATCTAGCTCTAGGACTGTGGTCGCCAGGTATCAGGGTCCCGTCTCAGGAATCCTGGAATTTGTGTCTCATGACCATCTGATGCAAGGCGGTGGCCAGAGACCATGGGGGAGTAGGGAGCCGGGGCTTCCTGCAGCCCACAGCAGTTAGTGCTGGGCAGGTTTGCTGGGAAAAATTGATTTAGCGCAGTCCCCGTCTGCTAGGGGTGCCAAGCACAAGGTCACCCTACCCTGGGACTTCTCCTTCAGAGGATAATGCATTTTCTTTTCTTTGTAAAAGAAAAAAGGCGGGGTGGGGGGTGGTCTCTAAGCCCTTGCCACCCCCAGGGTGACTGGCGGCCAGCAGCTTCAGCAGCCCTGGGGCTTTGTTGGAAATGCAGATCCCCAGGCCGTGCCCAAACGCCCTGCCCCAGGATCTGTGCATGAGCAAGAATGCGAGCGATTCTGTGCGTGACAGCCTGGGCAGCGCCGCCGTGAGCGCAGCCCCAGAGCACACGGTCGGCACTGGCCATGGCCCGTGTGGAGCCTCCGTAACCGAGCACCTGGGACTGGGTCACTTGGGAAGCACGCTGATTCGGTTCAGACAGTTCTAGACGCTGGCGAGTCCGAGATTGAGGGACTGGCATCTGGCAAGTGCTGTGTCGTCTCACACTGGAAGGTGGCAGAGCAAGAGAGGGAGCTAGGGAGAGAGCATGAGGGGGCCAAACCCATCTCCCCTCCCCTCTAACCAACGCCTGCCCACCACAGCTACGTTAGCCCCTCATTGTCTGATCACCCCTTACAGCGCCCATCTCTTTTTGTTAATTATTTTATTTATTTTTAAAGATTTAGTTATTTGAAAGGCAGAATTAGAGAGAGGAAGAGACACACAGAGAGAGATCTTGCATCCTCTGGTTCACTCCCCAAATGGCCACAACAGCTAGGGCTAAGCAGGCTAAAACCAGGAGCTTGGAACTCCATCTGGGTCTCCCATGTGAGTGGCAGGTGCCCAAGCACTTGGGCCATCTCTGCTTTCCCAGGCGCATTATCGGGGAGCTGGATCAGAAGTAGAGCAGCTGGGGCTTGAACTGGAGCTCATATGGAATACCAGTGTCACAGGTGGTGGCTTAACTGGCTGCACCACACCACGGGCCCTGTTATTTATTTGAAAGGCAGAGCACAGGAGAGAGAGAGAAACAGAAACACACACACAGAGGCACCCTGTCCTCCCACCCCGCCCCCACAGAGAGAGAGAGAGAGAGAGAGAGAGCTTCCATCCTCTGCTTCAGTTCCCAAATGTCTGCAACAGCCAGGACTGAGCCAGGCAGAAGCCTGGAGCCTGGAACTCCGTTGTGGACTCACACATGGGAACAGGGACTTGAGCCATCGCCTGCTGCCTCCTGGGAGGTGTCACTGGACTCCCAGTTTGGGGGTGTTTCCTGCCTGTGTGCCCTCACAGCTCACGTGGTCAGGGGCTGTGCAACCTCAGGAGTCGTCACCACGTCAGGCCGGAGGACAGTGACACTTTCTAACCGGAAGAGGGGGAAGAACACCTGACTCCCGGGGACTTTCCTGGAGAGCTTGGGTTTGCCCTGGGGGCAAAGGCCCGGGTTGCTCTGGAGAGCTTTTGGGGGATGACAGAGCCCCCCCCAAACCGTCACCTGGTGAGTGTCCGCTCTGCCGGGCCTGGTGCTGAGGCTCCTGCAGGCTTTGACTCTGCACTCCCCAGCGAGGTGGTGTAGGCTGCACTGCTGTTTCGCAGACCTGGGGCTCGCAACTGGAGAGCATCTTGGATGAGCCTCCCCTTTAGACAGGAGCAGGGACCGAGTCTGGGCCGGGCCAGGCAGTGGCGGAGGTGGACTGGGGGTCTGAAGCCTCTGGTCCCAGTGCAGCACCTCCTCCCAGTGCCCTTCACTGAGTAGGGGGCGCCGTCCTCGCCCTGAGCCTGCCCCCCTTCTCCTCAGGCCGCTAACCTGAGGCTGTGCGGGCACCCGCGGGCCCTCGGCAGCACACCTCTCTTTGCTGTGAGTGACCGTGTGGCTGGCTCTTGAAGAGTGATTGAGCGGCCTTTATTTTCTTTTAAAGATTTGTTTATTCATTCTAAGAGAGAGAGAGAGAGAGAGAGAGAATGAACATGGATCTTCTATCCACTGGTCACTTCCCAAATGTCCACAACAGCCACAGCTGGTCCAGGCTGAAGCCAGGAGCCTAGAGCTCCATGTGGGCCTCTCACGTGGGAGGGGCCCATGCACTTAGGCCACCCTTCACTGCTTTCCCAGGGAGCTGGATCGGAAGCAGAGCAGCTGAGACTCTAACCGGTGCCCTGATACGGGGTGGCAGCCCTGCAGGCGGCAGCTTAGCCTGCTGTGCACGACGGGCTTTAAATGGCCTGAGCAGCTGCCTGTGCTTCGTGCTCTCCTGGGGACATCCTTGTCGGCACCGGGCACCTGCAGCGGCACTGCCTCTTAAGTTCTACAGCGCTCCTGCCCCTTGTTAATCACCTGTGAGACACTAGTAACCTTGCCTGCTCCCATCAGTCATTGTTGGATTTCGTCCCCACAGCTCTCCTTTAGTGTAGGCATTCCTGCTTTACAGGTGGGTAAACTGAGGCTCGGAGAGGCGATTTGCCTAAGCTGATGAGTTGCAGAGCTGGACACTTGGAAACTGTTAACTGATTTTACCCACAAAGACAGAGACGTCCCCATAGGGCTATTGTAGCACTCTTGTGGGTTCAACCAATTGCAAATAGGAACTATTCAGGAAAGCGTTGTGTCTGTACTGAACATAGGCAGATTTTTCCATGTCACTGGTCCCTGAAGACTGCGATGTAACAGCTGTTTACATAGCATTGACATTGTAGGGCTGCCGTAAGTCGTCAGAGATGACTGAAAGTGTACAGGAGAGTATGTAGAGGTCATTGCCAGTGCCCTGCTATTTATTGTAAGGGACTCCAGCAGCTGAGGATTTTGCTCCTGGACCCAGGCCCCATACGTACCAGGAACAAAGCCCCACCTCCTACCTAAATTGCCCCAGTCTCTGATGGCACCTTGGGAGGTGCCCTTGGTTTATCTGCTGCCCCCCCCACCAGGTGCTGGCAGCTAAGAGCAGCAGCAGCAGCTTGCACAGTGCAGTGGGCACCCCATGGGAGCAGGTGCTGGCGTCTAAAGGTCCCCAGAGGTCATAGAGATGAGCAGACTGAGGCACAGAAGGGCAGTGGCTTGCTAACAGTTGCCCTGTCTGATTCCGCAACCACACCAACAAATAACCAAGGACCCAGAGAATGGGTCCTGGGGGTTAGAATTCAAAGTCACCCATGGCGAGGGACCGAGTGGTGTCTCCCGGCCTTGGTGTCCTCGCCCGTACC